CACCTTGGACACGCCCCCCTGTCTTCAGCCCCGTATTCCTGCATGACGTTTCCCTAGTGTTTCCCCACTCCCTCGGACTGTGTCGTCCGCATAGGGTCCGGAAAGAACTGTCCGTTACAGAGACTTTAGCACTCAAAATGTGGTTAGAAAACAGCTGAGAAAGTGGTTCTTTTATCCAGAGTAGACAGCAAAGCTGTTGAGACCTGACAGTGTTATAGGTTGTGAAACAGAGTGCATACAAACTACACAGTGCAATAATCCTTGAAAGAATAGTACAAGTATGTATATATATATATGCATTCACACATTTGTGTACTTAAAACATTAAAATTGAATGTTTAACCCCAGACTGTGGAACTGGAACCAACATGTTCTGAACGCAGTCAGGCAGTCAGTGTAGCATCTCCTTACAGTGTAGACGAAGGAGGCCTATGTCTCCAAACCCTATTGAAACCTATTGTATACAAAAGTAAACTAGAATCTCAAAATAAGAGAAAATCTGTCTTTAACTTCAGTTGGGGATTTAAGTTTATAGGGGTATTTCAGAATGTACAATGACATTTAGATCCAGAGCAGTGATATCGTTAAGTTAAAATGAATTAGGGTAATTTTATTACCTGAATTGGAAGACAGACAGTCATCCCTTGTACTGACTGCAAAATGTGCAGATTCCCACTTCCTTATGGCAGCCTTTCTGATAAGATAACTGACACTCTTTGCAGATAAACAGAGACTTGTCTTTCTCCAGATGCCTCATCCAGCAGCTAATCCTCTGTGACTCCCCTCTGGAAGATCATCACTTGAAAGATGTGCCGGTCAAATCATCCCGACAGCAGCCAGAGATAACCCAGTGGCAATTGTTAGGTCAAGTAGTCACTGAATGAAATTCCTCCAGGGACGATTCCAAAACTACTGAAGCTGAGAAAATAGAGAGAAAGGATTCAGTGAGGTTAAAGAACAAATTTAATTCTCCCCACTATAGTTTTCTACCTTATTTCGGCAATATGAAATGGAAAAATACAGTTAAGTTTCCTGAAAGATGTGTCTTGCATGACAGTTCTGAGAATAGTAAAGGGCTTCAGTCCCAAATCTATTGGCATCCATTTCTCTTTCTAAATTCCTTACATTAAGCACTTTCATAACCTAAAGTGCATTTAAAAATTATGGAATAAAAAGGCCTATTATATTTTCTTTAAAATAATACTTTTGTATTCTTAATCTATATATAGGGTAAACATCACTAAATCTTTCAACAAATGACCTCAAGAACAAGAAAAGTTTTAAAACATTTTCATTTTATCTGTTATTTCAATTTTAAATGACTTGTTATTGTTCACAAAAAACATAGGTTATACAACCCTTTAATCAAGAATTGCTAATCAGAGCTGGTAATCGATGTGATTCATTAGCAAAAGTCTCACGCTAGAATAGTGGAGGTACAGTATCCACCAAACTGAGCACCATTCCATTCTCTCCCCTTCACTCGGGCAGCCCCTGCACCAGCAGCAGGGACAGTAGGCAGTCCACTATGGTCACTCTTTCAGAGGAAGGCAAGGATATTCTGGCTGACATAAACCTCCCAGCTCAAGCAGCACTGGGCCAGTGGCCTGGTGGAGTCCTGGTCACAGCTGTTTAAAACATAATATTAAGACTAAATGTCCCACACGGTGTTCCCAACAGGTGCTTTAAATGGTGAAGCCCTCCGAAATATTATTATTTAAAAAATTCCAAATACTATTGACATGTCTGTTTATAAAACTAAATTATCTGCATATGGCAAACTGTAATACATTGCAATACATGTGGGACAGTGCACATATAAATGTTTTAGGACACTGACCGTGTGTGGCATAGCTGCACATTTTTCCACTTAAGATTTAAATGTGCACGCTAATTAATTATAATAATAATAATTGCTTACATTATATAGCGCTTTTCTGGACACTCCACTCAAAGCGCTTTACAGGTAATGGGGACTCCCCTCCACCACCACCTGTGTGCAGCCCCACCTGGATGATGCAACGGCAGCCATAGTACTAGGAGGTGATGATTGGTAAGGGCCAATAGGAAATTTGGCCAGGACACAGAGGATTTACGTAAAATTAAAATAATATCTTGCAGATGTATAAAATGTGTTTTAACGGTTGACATTTTAGGTTTCCATTTTCATATTCACCACACTCATGACTAAAATATTTAAAGCAGGTAAACAGCTGTCATGCCATTTACAAATATGTACAACATTGAAAAAAAGTAAATAAAGTCAAATTAAAAATATATATATATATATCTGAGACCTCAACATCTAGGGCATTTATATAGTTTTAAAAGTAGTCTACTATAAAAAGAAGAAGACAAATGTAATTCTTTCTTTCCTCAGTTTTCCCACTGTTAAGGAGATTGTGCTTTGTATGCAGTTGACAAGCATCTGCCCATGTGTGCCAAGTGGTCAACAAGCCCAGTTGTGTGTAAATAAGCTCTGGAACACAAAGCCAGGCCATAGGGATTATGCATACTGCATGGAAACCACCCATACATGGCTCCTCAGCACTTGGTGGGTTTAGGGCCAAATAACAAAAGGACCATTTAGGGATTAGTTTACCAATTTATCTTTATCAAGCCTGTCTTATCAATGTTTTTCGAATTGGTATACATCTTTGTCAAACACTTGTACTGGTTATTCTTCCTGGCTGACATGCAATTACTACTTGTCTACGTTAGGCCAAACCCACCCTGGGAATACAGCCCTTACACTCCCTGTTTCTATTAGCCCTCGCTTGGCCTGTGACCACTGCCTTCCAGCTTCACTACCCTTCAAGTCTTTTCGAACTGGCGCTATTTCCCAGGGAGTTATCTCTTTTCCATTTATCCCTTGTTTAATTTTTTCCTGCTTTGTGTTTTTTCACCACTTTAAAGGATCTCTGGAATAAGGTTTATTGACTTAAGGGGAACATTTCAGCGTCACACACGTTAACACTGGTTCTGATGGGCAGTTCCAGCAAATTTGCAGAAGATCTTTAAAATGTTTTTCTGTTCCAAAAATCAGAACTAGTGTTAAACACAGCTTAAACATGCTACCCGAGTTGTAATACATCATAATTACTGGCCTAAGCCTGCAAAGGCGATGGTACTATTTTTACCACATATTATTCTGCCACTAAATGACAGTTATTTCAGTGTCCTTTGACACACAATTCTAGATATAATGTTTGCTTAAATCTGTGCTTAAATTAATAAAAGAAACTGTTGCTGAAAGCATCACAACCAAACACTGAACTGAGTTAATCTTTCTACTATTGACTTTTTAAAGACCTTGACGCAAACAGAAGATTTGATGTATTCTGTAGAAACTGTCAAACTATTACAGTATGTACAGTAGCCTTATGGAAATTAAATTGGCTTTTCAGGATGTCAAGATGTAAAATATATAGTATATATATATAGTTCTCCACGCTTAAATTCAATTTTGAAATGACCTAATATTAGGTTTCACTTTTTACAGTTTAATTTGTTCTTAAATTAACATAAGGGACACCTTCTATGAGCAAGATACAGAAAACAAATGCTTTATGAACACACACCAGAACCAGTGGAGAAATTCATAGGCAAAATGTAAATAAGAAATAGGATTTGGTGTGAATATCAAAATAATTATCTCCTTGTCTCTTTTTGAGTTCTTCATTTGAAAATATATTAAATAGCTTGAACAAGGTAAAAACCATACACAAGTTAAAATTACAAAAAGAAAATAAATAAGACTTCCTACAAACACGAAGCTTGAAGTTAATTTTTTTTAGATTTCTATGCTAATTTTCTTGTTTAGAACCCTTCCTTCCATGTGTTTAAAAAGGAAGTAGGTAGGATTGTATAACTCCTTTATTTGTCTTATAGAGCTATAGTGATAACATACACTGTGGTGCGGCCTTCCAGTCAGGACACATTTATCTTTTATGAAGTAAAATAAATCAAAAACTACAGAGCTGCAGAACTGAATTTCAGAACAGGACAATACTTTGTTTAGATATCCCTCTGTAAGTACAGTTTTAAAAGATATCATTGCCTGTGGGAATATATCCAATTTATCTCCTGTCACTCCAAAAGCACACTTTATCCAATATCTGTGAGCCATACATTGCTGTGTTTGCTTATCATTGCTGCCCACTTGGGCCAGTATTGGGCTGGTAATACTGCTAAATAAATCGAAATAATAATCGGGTGTCAAAATAACAAATCAATAAAACATTATACATATTAAAGTTACAGTCTCATTGCTTTACTTGGACTAGTCTACTATCAATGAACACTGCTTAATTCAGCAACCAGTTGCTGAATTACCATATTATTCAGTTTACTAATTAATCCATTATGAGCAAGGTTAATGTGTTCATATTTCTGTTGTTCAAATTATGTTAAACTACAGTACTCTTATCTTTAGGGTTGTACCAGTCTATCTGGGCTAAATACCACATATGATAAATAAATTAAATCTGTATTCTGTATTCTTTTAATGCTATCTCCTTAACAAACATTTAATGGCAGTGCTTATAGTTTACAGATCTGCCTAATGGATATTTTTGGTAAAATGTACTTAGTTGCATGTGTTGTTAACTTAAAGCATTTAAGAAATTAAGCATTTTAGTACAACTTAACACAGCAATTTATATTTCTCTCATCACAGGATTTTACCTCTTTTAGGGGTCTTTTTGAATGATCTCGATACAATTTCACAGGTCTATCCAAAAACTGTAGCTTTTAAGGCCTTGGTTAAACTGCCACCTCTTGTGAAATAAGATTGTTGCTTTTTTTTACATTCCAAGTGAAGTGTAACAATAAAGTCTTGGGTTTCAATACTGCAATTTGAAATCCCAAAAGGAAGGATGAGACTAAGTGCTAATACAAAAAAGAAAGACCTTTTTTATGGGATATCTGCTTTCTAAAAACATTTATGTGTTGTTTTTCTTTTCAATGTCATATGTAGATATAGGCAAATTGGAAACAAAAATGAAATAATGAGTTTCCTTACAGTTTGTTTGCTCTGAAATGACATTCATGTTTGCATCTCAGTGGAAGACCAAAAAAAAAGACTCCTAAGTAACACAGAAGAAATGGAATCTGTCATGAATCTTCTTTAAAGGTTTAAAAAGAGAAAACAAACAAGATAGTATTGCCCAACAAGGTCAGAGGATAAAACTCCTGTCAGGCCTGCAAAGGAAAATCTTCTTGTCATCTCTGAATTTAATTGGGTGCTCTTCACTTCCTGTGTGCATGTATCCAGGCTAGAAAAGCCACACACAAGAGCAAAGAATACTGTATTTTGGAAAAGGAATTGAAAAAAAATATTTTATCCAGTATTCTAATTAAAAAGATACCTAAAATGAATTAATTCCGTCCACAAGAAGGAAGACACAGTACAGACCTAATTAAACTCAGCCTCCAAGTGAGGAAAGGAACTACAAATTGTGCAAGATGTTCCATCTCAGTGCCTAACCTAGTTAAACAGTTTATAATTAACAAAATACCTTGAACTGGCACTAATACAGCAGTCTCAGCTGCAAAGTGATAAGAAAGCATGGAGAATGCAAATACTCCGAAGTGCTTCCTGGTGGCAATATGGAGGGGAGGGGTTATTTTTAATCAGGTTATGGTGGCTGAGGTTCATTGATAAGGCAGACCATCAGTCTGTCCTCCACCTGTCTCGGACAATCTGAACAGCTGTCCCAGCAGCTTAGTGGATTTAAACTAGGATCCTTAGTATAAGACATCTAGCAGTGGCACATGAAGTGAAGCTTATTAAAGTTAGTTCTACATGTAAATAGTCCAAAGGGTGTGGAACCAGGGATGAAATTGAAGGTTGGAATGGCTAAACAGTTTCGTTCCAGATGTATATTCAATCATATTTTCTCTGAAAGGAATTTACA